AGTGGCTGGTGGGTTTGAACCACCAGCCGTCTGGTTAGCAGGCAAGTGTCTTAGCCACTATGCTACCAGAGCTCCCAATGATGATGATTAGAACTGAGAATTATTTTTACTATACAAATGTGTGGGATCTCTATCCTGATGGATTTAAAATTACAAATTGATAATTTTAGGATAAATTGAAAATTGGCTTTACGGGTTCATGGAATTTAAAAACACATACAACTCTGAACTGGTGTCAAGGCAGCACTGACATGATGAACATTTCCAGCCTCTTCTTGGCAGAGGAAGTAGAGATGAAAGAACCCAGACACCCGAGGGCACTGAGGGGGCAGGAAGGTCCGGTGTTAGTGCCCAGCTTTGAAGGCTAGTGGCCACCACAAGCCTAACCCAGCTCTTTTCAGCTAAACCAACTTTCTGTAAAAGCAGAAAAACCCCAAAGAGCAAATTCAAACTTCCCTTGCATAATTTTTAATTTAACAATGTCCCAGTCTCCAAGCTATTGCCATCTCATCTTTGTAAACCACATGGATGAATCAAACATATTCAGGAGGTGGGAATGGCTAGTCTGGTACAACTCGGGCTTCCCAGTTTGGGGTCTAGGTTTTCCTTCTCACTGAAGTACCAGCTCCCTCATGTACTTGTGTTTATACATACCATTATATTAAGGACAGAAGTGAACAAACAAAAGATTTGTTTCCTGCTAATCATTCCATAAACAGAACTGAATACCCTCCATTCTTGATAGCTGACTGCATGTATGAGCTATGCTGTGTAAAATCAGCTGGTTCATTCTCATGGTCATCAGGACCTCTAGATAACAGATATCCTTCTCTGTATGCCGAGCCAAGGACTTAGGCCCCAGCCACTTCTTTCTGCCTCCTCTTCCACATTGCCTCAGAGATATCCATTCTAGCTACGTCTTTGATAGAATATCCCACCGAGGGAGGGAGTGTTAATGAAGAAGAAAATCATAGAAGTTTTTTAGACAGATTCAGATTTTAAAGAGCCTGTTCACCTCAAGCTAAGTTTAGGAAAAACTGTGAATATAGATTGGGAGCTAAATCCCCCCTTTAAAGAAAATGGCTCCTTCAGGTTCAAATTCATTACTCCACAGGTGCTCTGTGCCACAGTGGTTAAAGCATTCAGCTGCTAACCAAAAGGTTGGCAGTTCAAACCCGCTAGCCTCTCCATGGGAGAGAGATGAGGCAGTCTACCTCCATAAAGACTGATGGCCTTGGAAACCCTCTGTGGTAGTTCTCTGTCCTACAGGGTCACTATGAGTTGGGATCAACTCAACAGCAATAGCTTTGTTTTTCGGTTGGTTAATTACTTCATATGACAAATTTGCTTCAAGAGTCAAAGACTCCCAGGTTTTGTCAAAACGCTCCTTTGTGTTCAAACCCTTGCAGGGGCAGGAAGCTCATTTCCTCACAAGGTTGTTGTTGTTGTTATGTGCCATGGAGTCAGACCTGACTCACAGAGACCCCTCCCTGGCTTTCCGAGGCAGTTATTACTACGGAAATAGATTGCCCGAGGAGTGGCTGATGGGTTTGAACCACCAGCCTTCTGGTTAGCAGTCAAGTGCCTTAGGCACTATGCTACCAGAGCCTATGTCAAAATGCTGACAACTTGTGGAGTTAAATTGCTCCTCCTTATTCAGAGCCAAACTGACTCCTACACTTTCACCAGTTTGGTTTTAGATCTGCCAGCTAGAGACACAGAATCAGCCTAACCCTCTGGCTGGACGGCTAATCCCTTTACGTGATTCTTTTAAAAGAAACTGTGGTGACTCAGGCTACAATTCTATCAAATACCAAAAACCAAACTCTGCCATTGAGTCGTTTCCGACTCACAGTGACCCAAGGACTCATAGTGACCCCTCCTTGGGTTTCCGAGGCAGTATCACTACGGAAGTAGGATTGCCCAATCTTCCTTCTGAGGAGTGGCTGCTGGGTTTGAACGGCCAGCCTTCTGGTTAGCAGTCAAATGACTTAGGCACAATTCTGTCAAGGATATCATAAATCCCACGCTTTTCCCTTCCTTCTCCTTTCAGTGGCAGGTCAAGAGGAAGTGCTCTTCTCTGAGGTCCGAGGTCCAACACTGTAGCTCAATTCAACACCCCACTTTGCAGGCCGCCCCTGAGCAATCAGAAATGGAGGCGTCTGGGAAGGGGAGGTGTTGGAAAGGCACCTCCCTCGGAGCTTCCTCTCTGTTGACTCTGTTGACCCAGTTTTCTGCTGCTGGCTAATGTCGACACTGGATTATTTGGCTGCAGGGATTCTCTTCTTAGTCTAGGTCAGAGGTCACAGACTTACAATCTTTTATGTGCACAGAGCCGGGGAGTTTTCCACAGGGCCACCACACCCCCTGAGATTTGGTTTAGTCGAAAGGAAGCCGGCCTAGTAATCTGTATTTTAAGAGGCGCTCCAGTGCTAATGTCCTCACTATACTTTGAGAAACATTGATTTGAGCAAATAAACTTTTTCTGGTTTGGAAAAAAAAAAAAAAAAGAAGTGGAGAGAAAAATACCTTGCATTTTGGTTTTATTTAGCCATAAAGCATACATCCTTACCATCATTTCTCTTAGTCTTACTCATTTACTTTATTAAATCCCATGTTATATAAAGAATAATACTTTAAGTCATTTCCTATGAATCTAATACTAATCATTTAGCCTATCAAGATTCTTCTGGAATAAGAAGGGGTCTAGCAACATCATCTGCAGATTGATAATGGAAGTGTTTGTCAGGAAGCATCCAATCTTTGCCCTCAGGAGGGAGCCAGGCTCCTGAGTTGCAGTATATTTGCTGCCCTAAGTTAGCTGATGGCCAGGAGCCAGAGTGGAGGGAGTTGACAGAGAGAGTATGCTTTGGTCCAATACTTAAGTAAACAACCTGGTGACTACACTTAACACATAAATCAGACCTGGATAAACACTGCCACACACATCTGTGCAATTCTGTGGTAGTTCTAACAAAGCCGTAAAGGGATTCCAGTGTACAGGTTACAGGTTAAACCATTCCACAGTCATCTGTATGCTTGGGGAGCTGAATTATGCAAAGAAAACTCTTCTTTCCTTTGAGAACAGCTTGTTTCTTTTAGAAAGAGCTGCTGTGGTTCTTTTACAGACATGAAGGGTTTCTCATCTTTAACTCCACCTCAAAATAATGCTGTCCCAAGGCCACTCCAGTGAGCTTGTTTCCTTATGGTAAAGTGAGCCTATGTCCTACCCAGTAATTCAGCACTTAGTAAATGGACTAAAAACGTTAAGCAACAAATCCATAAAAAGGTTTTGATGACAGAAACTTATTTTCCTACTAAGACAGTTCATGCATGTTTACTGCAAAATGAAATCACTTTTAAGTAAATGTCGTGAAGTGAAGGCATCTAGCTTTCATTTTCTGTTAGGGATGAAGAGTTTCACTGGTTCGCTGACCTTCCTCCTCTTCCTGGAGCTCTCCAAACTGTGCTGGCTGTATCCCAAATCTGTGCTTTGAATCTGTGAGGATTATGAGAGAAGCACAATTCAATCAAGAGTCTGACATCTACACAAAGCACACACAAGATGGGCAGAGCAACATTAATCCCGCCAGCTGCGTAAGGGATCCAAACCTGCTCTCCCACGGGCAGGCTGGCCCTGCACAAAGGCCCTGCTGCCAGCATCAGAGTCTGGTATTCCAAGTTCCAGGAGCTTACGGCCCCTGGAGACCGCCAACTCCAGGGACAGCTTCTTGGCTCTCTCTAGTGAATTTAGCACATCCAACTCTTGAGGGAAGGACTGTCAAGGTTGCGGGGCAGCAAGAAGGAGCTAAGGGTCAGGAGAGATTTAGGATCTAAATGTAAAGAGTCCTTTAGAGGCAAATACAATTTAAATCCCACTGTCAGTTCACAGACACCTGTAGCCTTGCCTTTTCTACCATAAATTCAGATTAGTGGATTAGGGAGGACCATGACCCTCCTGATCGGCAAAAAGCAGCCATTATTGATTAATTGTGTATTCTGGATACATCCATAGTATGTATCCATAATATACAATTCATCCTTAAGCTCAGCTTTGGTAAGGATTTTAGAATGTATCTTTGCTTAACTGAGTGAACCCTAATCCCTGAATTTCAAGAAACATATAAAGGACATTTTTATATTTTCCAGCCACTAGATGGGAGGAAAAGTTTTTCCATGTCTTCTTTCTTTGGTAGGAGAATGAAATGAGATATTGCACTACAGAAAATTAATTAATATGACCTTCTAGCCAGAGTCTTGTAAAACTCCCACCAAAAGACTGGATGGGATATGCAAATGAGGTGTTTGTGGCCCGCCAAGGGGAGCAGGTAGCTTGCCAACATTGTAAATAAGGTGCATTCCACCCTTGTGGGGGGTGGGGCCATGTAAATAAGGTCTACAGTCAATTTTTCCATCCCAGAGAGAGAAAGGGGGGACCTGACTGCAACAAAGAAGAAGAGATGAAAGCAGAGCATGGCCTTCAGGCCTGGGGTCCCTGCACTGGGAACCTCCTAGACCCAGGAGACAGAGAGCTGTAACACTGGAGGTGATAAAAGATGGCAAGAAGCAGTGGCTGAGAAATGGTGGCTGCAGAGGCAGCAGAACCAGGAGATGAGCCCAAAAGAGGGCCATGGACTCCCAGCCCACCCAGTGAGAAAGCTGAGTGCCTTCAGCCAGAAGGCTTGCTGGTGGAGTGGGGTGCCTCTGGACACTTACTGACAGAGCTAAAAGAGCTTTATAACAATTGCCCGAGCAAAGCAGAGGCTAGGTTAAGAGGCCGAGGGTCAGAGAGAGACCTGCCTGCAGGCATGGCTAAGAAGAGGCTGTTCTGATCAAAGAACTGGGTCCTGAGTTGTTGCAAACCTCAAATTGCAATATTGAAAGATTCTATGGGCAAAATATTGAATGTTGCATGAAACATAAAAAGCAGATAGAAGGAATACACAGAGTCACTGTACCAAAAAGAATTGGTCAGTGTTCATCCATTTCAGGAGGTGGCATATGATCAAGAACCAATCATATTTAAGGAAGAAGTCAAAGCTGCACTGAAGGAATTAGCAAAAAACAAGCCTCCAGGAACTGACAGAATATGTAATGAAATGTTTCAACAAACGGATGCCACATTGGAGGCACTTACTCATCTATGCCAAGAAATTTGGAAGACAGCTGTCTGGCCAACTGACTGGAAGAGATCCATATTTGTACCCATTCCAAAGAATGGTGATCCTACAGAATGTGGAAATTATCGAACAATATATCATTAATATCTGACTGCTAACCAGAACACTGATGGTTCAAACCCACCAGCCACTCCTTGGAAGGAAGATGGGGCAATCTACTTCCATAGTGATACTGCCTTGGAAACCCAAGGAGGGGTTCGCTATGAGTCAGGTCCAACTCGATGACACATAACAACAACAACACTCAAGTAAAATTTTGCTGAAGATAATTTAAAAATGGTTGCAGCAGTATATTGACAGAGAACTTTCAGAAATGCGAGCTGGATTCAGAAGAGGATGTAGAACAAGGGATATCATTGCTGATGTCAGATGGATCTTGGCTCAGAGCAAAGAATACCAGAAATATGTTTGTGTTTTATTGACTATGCAGAAATATTCAATTGTGTGGATCACAACAAATTATGGATAACATTAAGAAGAATGGGAATTCCAGAACACTTGATTGTGCTCATCAGGAACCTGTACATGGAGCAGGAGACTGTCATTCTATCAGAACAAGGGGATACTGCATGGTTTAAAATCAGGTAGGGAGTGTGTCAGGGTTGTATCCTTTCACCATACTTATTCAATCTGTATGCTGAGCAAATGATACAAGAAGCAGGAATATATGAAGAATGTGGCATCAGGATTGGAGGAAGGCTCATTAACAACCTGTGATATGCAAATGACACAAACTTTGCTTGCTGAAAGTGAAGATGACTTGAAGCACTTACTGATGAAGATTAAAGACTACAGTCTGTGGTATGAATTACACCTCAACATAAAGAAAATTGAATAATAGTAGTATTAACTGGCCTTCCTTGTAGGAGGAGTATGGATAGTATCCTATCACCATCAGCATTGTATTTCAGGACAGATCTTGAAACATTCTTCATGACAAATGCCACACCATTCCTCTTCAATATGTCATACCTGGCATAGCAGATCATATGGTTGTCTGATTCAAAATGGCCAGAACCAGACCATTTCAGCTCACTAATGCCTAGGATATTGATCTCAATGGATTCCATTTCATTTTTGACAACTTCCAATTTTCCTAGATTCATACTTTGTACATTCCATGTTCTGATTTTTAATGGATGTTTGCAGCTGTTTCTTCTCATCTTTGAGATGTACCACATCAGCAAATGGAGGTCCTGAAAGCTTTACTCTATCCACATCATTAAGGTCAGCTCTACTCTGAGGAGGGAGCTCTTCTTCAGTCATATTTTGAGTGCCTTCTGACCTGAGAAGCTCATCTTCTGGCACTGTATCACACAATGTTTCAGGGCTATTCATAAAGTTTTCCAGTAACATATTAGACACAGCATCACTGCTACTCATAAGGTTTTCACTGGCCAATCCTTTGAGAGGATGGCCCTTTCCTTCTTCTGAGGTTGTTTTAGTCTGGAAGCTTTGCTGAAACCTGTCCACCATGGGTGACCCTGAAGGTATTTGAAATATTGGTGGCATAGCCTCCAGCCTCACAGCAACCTGCAAGCCACCACAGTATGACAAAATGACAGACATATGGTGGAGGAAATTTTTAGCACCATGCGTTTTGGGAATAGTTGATAAAAGGGATGGATAAAGGACAGAAAATAAGGAAAATCCACTGAAAGAAATTTATGAAGCAGTTAGAGTCCTTAGATCTCCTCCCCAACTCTGAAGAATGATACAGTTGCCTCTCTCCCACTCTAGCATAAAATCAGAGGTTTAATATGTTAGGCCATAAAACAAGCTTCAATAAATTTACAAATACTGAAATACTACAAAGCATCTTCTTGGCTCAATAAGCTATAAAATTAGAAATCAATAATAGGAAGACCAAGGAAAAAGAAAATCAAATATGTAGGAACTGAATAATAACACTGCTCAAAAACTACTGGGTAACAGAAGAAATAAAGTGTGAAATAAAAATTCCTAGAAATAAATGAGAATCAAGATACAACTTAACAAAACCTTTGGGACACAATGAAAGTAGTACACAGAGGTCAATTTATAGCAATAAACATACACATCAAAAAAGAAGAATCAAAATCAACACTTAAACTCAACAACTCCAACAATTAGAAAAAGAACAAAAACAAAAACAAAAAACCCTTCAGTATCCAGAAGAAAGGAAATAATAAACATCAGCACAGAAATAGCAAAAAGCAAACACAATAGAGAAAATTGACTAGACAAGAAGCTGGTTCTTGAAAAAGATTAACAAAATCGACAAAACCCTGGCAAATTCAACAAAAGAAAAGAAAGAGAAGATGCAAATAACATGAATAATAAGTGAAAAGGGCGGGCAATATCACAACAGAACCAAGTGAAATAAAGAAAGATAATAGATTATTATTAAGAACTGTATTCCAACAGATTTAAGAACCTGGAAGAGATGGACACATTTCTAGAAACACAAGACCTACCTAACTTAACCCAGTCTGAGACAGAATACTTGAACAGACCCATAACAAGAAGAAACTGAGCAGGTAATAAAAAAAACTCCCCACAAAAAAAAGCCCTGGCCCAGATGGCTTTACTGGAGAATTCTATCAGTTGTTCTGAGAAGAGCTGACACCTGTACTACTCAAACTATTCCAGAACATAGAAAAGGATGGAATACTCCCAAATTCATTCTACAAAGCAAGCATGACACTGATACCAAAACCAGGAAAAGAAACCACTAAAAAGGGAAACTACAGACTAGTATCCCTCATGAATATAGATGCAAAAATCTTCAACAAAATCCTAGCCAACAAAATCCAACAACATGTCAAAAATAATAATACATCATAAACAAGTGGGATTCACACCAGGTATGCAAGGATGATTCAACATCAGAAAAACAATCAACGTAATTCATCACATAAATAAAGAAAATAACCATGTGATCATGTCAATTGATGCAGAAAAGGCATTTGACAAAGTCCAACACCCATTCCTGTTTAAAACTCTCAGTAAAATAGGAATAGAAGGGAAAATCATCAAGATAATAAGAGAATATATGCAAAATCAACAGCCAACATTACTGTCAATGGAGAAAGACTCAAATTATTCCCCTTGCAAATGGCAACCAGAGCAGGATGCTCTCTAACACCACTTCTATTTAACATTGTATTGGAAGTCCTAGCCAGGGCAATAAGTCAAGAAAGAGAAATAAAAGGCATCCAAACTAGCAAAAAAAGAAGTAAAGCTATCTCTATTTGCAGATGACATGATCCTACACATAAAAAACCCAAAAGACTCAGCAAGAAAAAATTACTGGAACTAATAGAAAGGTTCAGCAAAG